TTCATGTCCGAGGCCGCTCCTCATCTCTGATCCATGCTGCTAGTCCCTGAGGGAGACCTAGACGCCCTTGACATCCCGACCCCTCGCACTTACGCTGAGGCAATCTCGGGACCCTGGGCTTCTCAGTGGATAGCTGCCATGGAAGCGGAGATGGCCTCTTGGAGATCCACCGGCACCTATATTGACGCAGTTCCCCCACCTGGGGTGAACGTAGTCGATGGCCGGTGGCTCTTCAAGGCGAAGCGCCCTCCTGGAGAGCCACCAGTATTGAAGACGCGCTACGTTGCTAGAGGCTTCAGTCAGCGCGAGGGTGCTGACTTCTTTCAGACCTTTGCCCCGACCCAGAAGATGACCACTCTTCAGACACTGCTTCACGTAGCAGTACAACGCAACTACGAGCTGCGCTCTCTCACCTTCTCCACAGCGTTTCTCCAGGGCAGTATGCACGAGCAGGTCTACCTACGCGGACTGCCAGGCTTCTCTGGCTTTTTCCCTCCTGGGACCGAGTGGCTCCTTCGGCGCCCTGTTTACGGCTTACATAAGGCGCCCCATGAATGGCACGACACGTTGCGTGCTATATTAGCAGACCTGCAGTTCTTACCTTCCTCTGCTGTCCCTTCGCTCTTCGTTCACCCAGGCCAAACTCCGTTCTACATCCTAGTCTACATAGACGACCTTGTCTTCGCTATTGCAGACAGAGACGCACTGGCATTAGTGAAGGCCGAGCTGCTGAAGAGATACACCTACACTGACCTAGGAGAGCTGCGCCACTACCTTGGCGTGCAGATCTCCAGGGACAGAGCAACACGCACCATCACTCTCACATAGTCCCACTTGGTGCGGCAAGTCCTTCAGAGGTTTGGTCTTCAGTTCTCCTCCGCACAGCATACGCCTCTGCCAGTAGATCACATGCTCTCGGCTCCAGTCCCTGATAAGTCCGTTGAGCCTAGTTGAGCCCAGAGCTTGTGGGCTGCCTCATGTACCTGATGACTTGCACTCGTCCAGATCTCGCATACCCTCTTAGTATCCTAGCTTGCTTTGTGGCGTCAGGCAGACACCAACCTCAGCAGTGGTCGGCCGCTATGAGGGTTTTGCGGTATCTAGCAAGTACATCGGGCATAGGTCTAGTGCTGGGAGGACGCAGGGCACACAGACGCTTTGTGGGCAGACGACGTAGAGACGCTTAGGTCTTCTCAGGGCTAATGCTTTAGCCTTGGTGCAGGCGCCATCTCGTGGAGGTCCACCCGCTCATCGTCTGTTGCCCATTCCAGCTGTGAGGCTGAAAGCTCAAGTGCCATGGCGGCACAAGAGCTCCGCTGGCTGACATTTTTGCTCACTGGCTTAGGTGACAACAGTGCCATAATCCTCCTATGTCAGGAGTCACGACTAGAGGGAACAGCGAAGCAGATTGAGTTGCGGTACTTTCTCCTGCGTGAGCTACAACAGCGCCGCCAGGCCCGCATAGTACACTTGGCCTCCAGTGCCAACACACCTGATATCTTTACTAAGGTGCTTGCGCCTCAAGATGATCAGCGCCTCTGTGTACAGCTTAGTCTAGTTCCAATAGCTCCTCACTTTCTAGGACCCTGATTGTGTACTGCTCCTTATATTATCTTGACTGGCCTTGTGGCTTCTGTTCCAATGGCTGGACTAATAGTGCTGCCTTGGGTTACTTTTGTTTAGCTTGTACTCTTGCTGACTGGTCTTTAGACCCTTGCCTCATAGGTTGGACTAGTAGTGCCGCTTTGAGCTTCGTGTCTCTCAATAGGCATTGCCCCTTGTCTAGCCTAGGGGGTGTGTCAACATATAGATATTTGTATATGTAGCAGTTATTGGCTAGAGGGGTTCGTGCTCTTTAGGAGTACAACACCCAACCATACAGTATATTCCCTTGTAGGCCTTCTTTCTAGTCATTTGGTTACTTTGAGACGCAGCTGCAGCTCTGATGACTGCCCTGTACACTCGTATTTCGCCGCGTGCCAAGTTGACAAGAGTTGAATCGACCGCCCTTGGAATTTTTTTAGTCACGTAAATCGTGCATGCTCAAAAGAGGGCAAGGAACGTTAGACAAATGACACGCTTTGTCAAACAGCTGGTTGAACAGTCACAAGACATTTTGTGCTGATTGAAGAACTCCTAAACACACTAGTTTGAATGGCAACTCAACAAACATTTCATATCAAGTCGCACAGCTGCCTAGTCACACTTTGTACAGTGTCGCGTATATCCCAGGCCGAAAACTTTGTCTGGGAAGAGGTTGGGCTTAGCTTCGCCGTGATTCAGGCGAGATGTGCTAGTTTGGGAAGAGGTTGCTGCTGAGAATAGCCCTGATCCTGCGAAGTTTGTAGAAGTCTGCAGAAGCGGCAGATCAACGAAGTGTGTGGATGCAAGCTCTGCAGAAAAGCCTTTCAATGAAGAGCAGGTTAGTGACAAGGCGAGGCTCTGTGGGAATGTTCATCGACGATGAGGAGTCCCGTCGAAGTGACTTTGTTGTAGACATCACTGCTCCTGTGAGAGGAGAATTTGTATAAATAGCCTCTACGACGAAAGTAGTCTTTTGTGGAAGTGACTACAGCAGATTTGCGAGTGTAGAAGAACCTGCCGAATTGACACAAAGGGCCATTCGCAGCGGGGTTACCGAGCTGCGTGAGCATTTCGTAAAACGCGCTTATACAGGTAACCCTCTCGGTAGAGACAAGATTCCGGATACGCTATAGAGGAACTTCGGGCGACTCTACGAAAGGCCCCATTCGCGCACAACTGCCTGTTGCGCAAGTTCTGCAGAAAGGCGAGTTCGGAACTTACTTTTATAGGCAAACCCATACTGTCAGCTCTGACGAGACCGCCCACAGCGATCACGCGGACAAGTCCACGCCAGCCCATGAGGTGAGATGTCCCACGTGCCTTAACCTCATGGCGGACGACAGAGCTCTCCGACACCACACACCTCACTGCACCCTGAGCGATGAGGCACGCCGTGTGCAGGCCCGCCAGGAGGCCGCCTCGGTCGGCGGGTCACTCTCACGCCCGGGTTCATCTCTCCCCGCCTTTTCCGACGCGCACTGGGCACAGCTGGACTCTGTGGATTGGAGGGAGTATTTCTCTCCGTCCCGGACGCATGCTCGCCCGCTCCAGCGCATCCCGCCGAGGGTCCGCGGAGGCATCTCTGATGTCCTCCGTGCGATCACCGCCCGTATGGAGCAGTATCCGGACGCCGACGGGCCCCACTTCTTGTTCACGGCAGTGCCGACACTGTTCTTAGCGCTGGCCACTCCACCAGAGCGGGGCCACACAGCTTCCATCGCGGCTCGCATCGCACGCTTCTTCCGAGGTGAGTGGGACTCTCTCTTCTCTGACGCGCTGCGTTGTCGCACGCCCCTGCCCACCCGCACATCACGTCGCACCCCCGGCACCGCCACGTTGGGAGACAAGCGACGGATTGCGCGTTGCCTACGCTTGGCAGCGTGCAACGAGACATCTCATGCGTGCGCGGCACTGGAGTCGGCCGAGGCGGCTCCAGACATGGATCGCACGGTGCATAGCCTACAGGCTAAGCACCCTAGTGCGGAGCGCCCTCTACCAGAATGGCTCTCCACCTTCCATGAGGGCAGCCTCGTGCTCTCTGCCACCCACTTGCGCCAAGCCATTTTCACGGCACCGCGGGGCTCGTCGGGAGGACCTACCGGATGGGTGGCGGAACACCTCCGCGACACCTTTTTGGCATTCCCACAGACCCTACCCTCTTTGCTTTCTGTCTACCAGCTCTGGCTAGGAGGACGCTGCCCCTCGGTCGCGCGTTCTCTTTTGGATTTGTCCACCCTCGTGGCTCTCGTGAAGCCGAATGGGGACGTGCGACCGATCGCCATTGGAGAGGTGCTCGTGCGCGTCCTCTCCCGCGCTGTTTGCCTTTAGCTCCGTGACCAGATGGCGAGAGTATTCCTCACATCACAGCAGTTCGGAGTCGGAGTCACGTGTAGCACAAAGGTCACCATTAGAGACGTTGTCCGCGCTCTAGCTTACCACCCAGGCTGGGTGGTTCTGCAGCTGGACGTGGCCAACGCCTTTAACTCTTTCTTTCGCGACGTCCTGTTCCAGGCACTGCATGCCAGCCCTGAGTTCAGGTGTCTCATCCCATTCATCCGTCTTTTTTACGGCACGCCGTCCGATCTGCTCTATCGAACCGACAGGGGAGTCACCACGATGCACTCAGAGCGCGACACTTGGCAGGGAGACCCGCTGAGCCCGTTTCTCTATGCCCTCAAGCAGCGCCTTGCCTTGGAGCCCGTCCTGGCAGGGGGTGACGTCCAGCTCTGGTCGTACGCCGACGACAACTACCTCGTGGGCCCTCCAGACAGGGTGCTGCACCACTTCACGGAGGTCGTGAGGCGCTTGGGCGAGTTGGGCCTTGCTGTCCAGCCGCACAAGTGCCTTGTCCATCACACGTCGGTGATCGTGCCCAGCGACGTGCAGGCTTTCACTGATCTTAGCATCGAGGTCGCACGCCAGGGGCTCACCGTGACGGGCGTCCCGGTCGGCACCAATACCTTTGTGACTGGAGAGGATGGCTGGGGTGCTGCCGTGGCTCCCGAGGCTGCGGCAGCCACAGACAGCGGCGCGCCTGCTCTCCGTGGGTGTCAGCACACGTCCGCAGTACTTGGCGCGGACAGTCCCCCCATCACCAGAGGTATGTGCCATCTTTGCAGCGTGGGGCGCGCGCTTGGGTGCGACCTTCCAGCGGCTCCTGGTGCGAGGTACGTGGAGGGAGGGGGACATGATCTGCGAGGTAGCCCTAGAGCAGGCTTTTCTCCCGATTCGCATAGGGGGCTTCGGCATCCGACGCATGGAGTGCATCGCCCTGGTGAGTTATCTCTGTTCGTGGGCGCAGTGCACACCGATTCTCTGCTCGTTGCTGTCGGTGGGGGAGGGCTTCCGTCAGAGCTTCGCATCAGGTGAGCCCGCCCAGATCGATGGGCACATCATGATGACTCAGGAGGCCCTGCCGGCGGACGTCCTACGCCTCATGCCGGCCTGGCCTTCTTGCGCGACAGGAGCACCGGACGGCCTTTTCAGAGAGGCCAGCAGACACATCGAGGCGCACGCTTTGGAGTCGGTACGTGCCCGTCATACTGATCCCCTGCATCTTGCCCGTTTGATATCCCTTCAGGATCCAGGTGCGGGAGCTTGGCTTACGGCGGTACCCTATGCGGACTCTCTGCGCATTCCGGAGGCACAGTGGCAGGTGGCTTCATGCTTTCATCTCGGTCTCCCCATTCCCCAGTTATTCCTGGCAGGTCAGTGCTCGTGCGGAGAGCAAATCGCCGACATATCGGTGCCGCATCACGCGGTGAGGTGCGCACGCTTTGCGGTCGCCACGACCATCCACGACACAGTGAAGTACATGCTTCGTGACTTCGCGGACGAGGCCGGCTTCGCTGTCCAGGTGGAGGGCACAACGCTCATTCCGCACCTGGAGGCGGCGCGAGCTGGACTGCAGGTTTTGCACGCGGGGGAGGGGCAGGGGCAGGAGCGCAAGGAAAGACAGGACGGCAGCAGCGGCGGGATCAGGAGGGGGGGGAGAGGCAGGCGAGTCAGGAGGGAGAGAGGCAGGGGGCGGAGGAGGAGCAAGAGGGGCAGCAGCGGCGGTTCGGCAGGGAGGATCAGCAGCAGCAGCAGGGCACGGGGGAGAGCCGGCGGGAGGAGGAGCAGCGGCGGCAGTGGCAGGGTGGTGGAGAGGGGCAGCAGCGGCGCGTGGGGGGAGAGAGGCACGTACAGCAGCCGCAGGGAGCTCAGGCAGGGCCGCAGCAGGGGGCCCAGGCGGGACAGCAGCAGGGGACAGGGGACGGGCTCTTGGGAAGGGCACCACCAAGGCGGGTGCACTTCGCGCGCAAGGCGTTAGGAGAGGCGCACACGGAGGGGAGGACAGGCGGGGGTGGGCTAGAGGGGTCGGTAGGGGGTGGGGGTATAGGAGAGACGGAGGGCGGGAGGGGAGGGGGGGCGGGAGGGAGAGAGGAGATGGTGGAAGGGGCGGGGGTGGCAGGGGGAGTGGGGGAGGGGAGAGCGGGAGGGAGGAGAGGGAGGGTGAGAGGGGGAGTTGGGGAGGGACCACGATGACCAGAGGGGGGGCATCAGGGGACCAGACAGAGCAGCAGCCCGCGCAGCAGCAGCAGACGCCAACCGCTCACAAAGGCCGCATAGGGGCACCCGCCCGCATTCCCGACCTCACTTGCAGGGCGCCGCGAGAAGCTTTGATGGTGATTGTAGACGTCTCGGTGGCAGACCCACAGCGGGAGGGGAATGCGCAGTTCAGGCGGATGGCACCCACTCAGATTGGCGGCGCAGCAGCTAGGCGGGTGCAGGATAAGCTGCGACACTGGAGGCCGGTGTTACATGGGTTGCAGTCGGATCCAGAGTTCTACGCCTGCGTAGTGGAGACTTTTGGGTGCCTGAGTGAGCGACTGCGGCAGTTCCTAGGGCTGTGTGCATCGCAGACAGCACGGCGGAGGAGATATTCAGGGGCAGGGGATGACGGGTCGGCACGGATATTTGAGACGAGCCTCACTACGCGTCTCTCCGTGGCACTGCAGCGCGCGCAGGCAAATGTGATCATGCAGCATGCAGTGCGGCAGCTGGGCGGCTCCGACAATGGATGGATGCCAGCACCAATACCTTTGGGCGATGAGCAGGGGAGTTGGCACCACATCAGAGGGTGCTTCGAGAGTGCAGCAGATATGCAGTATATGTATGATGCATATGTATAAAAAAAAAACATATATAGGCCGTGCTTGAGACGCTGTGCCCGCGCTGTGCGCGTGGGCTATTGCTTTGTTAGGTCCCATGATGTCCCTCTGATATAGTCACACCCCCCCTCCCTCCTTCCCCTCTCCTCTTTCTCTCCTCTTTCTCGCTCTCTTCTCCCCCACTCTTTCTGCTACCTTCTTCCTTCCACTATCTCCTCTCTCTTTCTTTCTCTATCTCTTCTCTATCTCTTCTCTCTCTCCTCTACTCTTCTATACGTACTAACGCTACTGTGTCATGATAACACAATGATCATGCCGAAAATCTCATGTTTGGCTTGAGAATTGCTATGTGACTTGTAACCCTCGTCGTTATTAATGAGAACACTGTAGAAGGACATATCGGATCTAGCCTCTATGAATGACCCCTTCGGCAGAAATCGAAACTTGAGATTTCTGATGAAGGAGGTATTCCGAAATCGCGAGAAAATCGCGATTTAGTAAAATGCCGAAATGAGCTGATCTGAACCGAAAAGACATCCTGCGACATTGAGAAATTGAACACATATGATGCACATTTCGTAACTGCGGAAATGTGTGTAACAGTTGACAGTTTCACAAGCTGAACGTGTTAAAACAACGGCTTCTGAGTTGGTGAAAATTACCAACTAAGCATGTGCTGTATCATTGCAGACTTGGCTAAGCGCAGCTTAGAGTAGTTATATAAACGTTCTTGTGCGAACGTTCTTTCCGTGTTCAATGGGGTTGTACTAGTGTTTGCCCTTTGTACCATATTTTGTATTCTTGATTCTAGTGAATTTGTGTGCCCAAGCTTTCGCAAGCTATTATGTGAAACACACAAGTCTAAAGGCTATCTCTCCTTGGAGAACCACAGGGCTAGAGTAGATTTGTCTACGCCAGGCACTTTCGCATAAGCTCCCGCTATAGCAGAAAACTCTGCAGTTGCTTGGGAAGAGGTTGTCAACTTATACATTTGTAATGTATGTCTAGTTATAGGCTAGACAGGTACGTGCTCTTAGAGAGTACAACCCACAGCTCATATAGCACCCACTATGCCCTTGCTTAGTTCGCTTTGCTACTCTGAGATGGTATCACGCTAGGTAGGTCCCACCCACCCGTGCTTCCGCCCTATCCTACTGTAGCCTACCCCGACCTAGCCCGATGTGTCGCGCCGCCCTAGTTTGCCGCGCCACACCGCCCTAGTCCGCCGCGCCGCGCTGCCCTAGTCCACAGCCCTGGCACTGTCACGCCTCGCTGGCCCCGTTACGCTGCCCTACGCCGCCGCGCCGCGCAGCCCTAGTCTTGCCGCGCCGCCCTAGCCTGCCGCGACGGCCTCAGCTCGCCGCGCGGCCCTGTCTCGCCGCGATGGCCCTAGCTAGCCACGCGAACCTCAGCCCCCCGCGGCCCCCACTCGCCGCCGGCTCCAGCTAGCCGCGTGGCCCCAGCTCGCCACCAGCCCCAGCTCGCCGCGCGGCCCCAGATTGCCGCGGCCACTGCTCGTCGCCGGCCCCAGCTTGCCGTGCGGCCCAAGCTCGCTGCGGCTCCCAGCTTGCCGTGGCCTCCGCTCGCCGCCGGATTCAGCTCGCCGCCGTCCCAGCTCGCCTACGACCCCAGCTCGTCGTGGCTCCCAGCTCACTGCAGCCCCTGCCCGCCACCGACCCCAGCTTGCAGCGTGGCCCCAGCTCGCCACGGCTCCCAGCTCGTCGCGGCCCCCGCTCGCTGCCAGCCCCAGCTCGCCGTGCCGCCCCAGCTCGCAGCCGGCCCCCGCTTGCAGCCGGCCCCCGCTTGCCGTGCCATCCAGCTCGCCGCCGATCCCTTACGCTGAGAACATGGCTTTGATACTCCTGTGTGAAGAGCCTCGACTAGAGGGCAGAGCGAAGCACATCCAGCTGCGGTACTTCCTCTTGCGCGAGCTACAAGAGCGTTGCCGGGCCCGCGTAGTACACTTGGCCTCCAGTGCCAGCACAGCTGATATCCTTACTAAGGCGCTTGCGCCCAAAGATCATTAATGGCACTGTGTACAACTTGGTCTAGTTCTAGTTGTTAGATTATTGAGAGAATAATGAACTAAGGGAAAATGTCGAGGGTTACAAAGGTAGGAATGTACCTTCTAAGAACTGACATAACTAAGGCTTTAACAAATATAAACTAGCTAGCCTAGATAGTTATATTTGTTCACACACCTCCTAGCCGAGATGGTGGCAGTTCATAACAAAGAAAAGTACACCAGGGCAGCACTACTAGTCTGACCTCTGGTGAGTGTAATAAGAAAACTCAGGGCAGCACTACTAGTTTGACCACTGAAACAAGAGGCCACAAGGCCAGTAAGCAAGTGTAGCAAGACAAGTAGGTATAGAACAACAAGTACAAGTAGGTATAGTATGACTCAAGATACAAGAAGTGGTGCTGCTACTGAGGCTAGACCAAGCTAAGTAGAGAACTACTGATGGTCACGAGGCGCAAGTGCCTTGGTGAAGATATTAGCGGTGTTGGCCTCTGAGGCCAACTATACTACACGAACCTGGCTGAGCTGCTGCAACTCAAGCAGCAAAAAGTACCGTAGCTGGATGTGCTTCGCCCTGCCCTCAAGTTGAGCCTCCTGACACAGGAGGATCATGGCCCTGTTGTCAGCAAACAGGACCGGGGCAGACCTAGGCTGCTCGCCTAAGTCAGTGAGCAAGAACAACAGCCAACGGAGCTCCTAAGTGGCCAAGGCCCTAGCGTAGATCTCTGCCTCACAACTGGACTGAGCTACAGACGACGACCTGGTGGACCTCCACGAGACTGCATCAGCACCAAGACTCAAGGAGTAGCCCTGAGACGACCTGAGCGTCTCTAAGTCGTCGGCCCTCGACGCGTCCGTGTGTCTAGTGAGCACCACTGGCTCCCGTCCTCCTAGCACAAGCTGCAGTGCTGATGTACTCGCCAGATACCACAGTACCCTCTTGGCAGCAGACCAGTGGACTGGTCCGTGCCTGCCTGTAGACTCAGAGAGTACACTAGGTGAGTGTTGCCTGGCAAGAGTAGTGCAAAGTGCATCGTGCCACTCACGGGGTGCCTGACGAAGGCCGTAGACAGGACGGCGTAAGCTCCACTCGGTCCCAGGTGGGAAGGACCTAGAGAAGCCTAGAGGGCGCCAGAGGTAGATCTGCTCTTCCAGACTATCCTACAGGAACGCTGTGGAGAATTCGAGAGAGTGAAGCTCGTAGTCACGCTGCATGGCAATGTGAAGAAAGACTTGAAGTGTAGTCATCTTCGGGGTTGGGGGGAAAGGTCTGGAAGAAGTCTACACCCACATGCTGACTAAAGCCTCTAGCCACGTAACGCGCCTTGAACTTCGGCGGCTCACCAGGAGCTCGTTTCACCCTGTAGATCCACATGCCATCAACTACGTTCGCCCCAGGCGGGGGAACTGCGTCGACGTAAGTACCTGTGGATCTGTAGGATTCCATCTCAGCCTCCATGGCCTGTATCCAGTGGGCTTCCCAGGGTCCCGACACCACCTCAGCGTAAGAGCGTGGAACAGGGATGTCAGGAGCGCCCTCTGGGGATACAAGCATGGAGCAGACATGGGGAACAGCGGTAGCAAGGTAGGCCAACTCGTACTGTATGTCCTAGCACGTCACCCCCAAGGGCAGGTGCACCCCCGACGAACGGAGGACGGGCAGTACCAGAGACCAGAGCGGCAGCGTAGTCAAGGCGGTGGCTAGCAGCAAAGTCACAACAAGCGCAGAGACGGTCTCAGGAGGAGCACTAGGGTCAGTGACAAGCAACGCAAGCAAGCACGAAAGGGTAGGACGAGCAGTGAGAGCAGCGTCACAGCGAGGAGGGGGGGATTGCGGGAGCGACAACGGAGGAGGTAACGGAAGCACGGAAACTAGAGGTGCACGAGAACGGAGGACAGTAGGGTGGACACTACGACGGGGAGAGATAGGACGAGAACCAGAGTGCCGACGGACGCAGTGGGGAAGAACTGGGGACTAGGGATGAGGGGGAATGGGGGACACGTCAGGGGACAGAGGGGAGCGTGGGGGAAAACGAGCCAGAGAGGATTCCGGAGGAGGGAACAGCGGGCCGTAAACAGGGTCACACACTGGAGGGGGAACGAGCTGGCGGACAAGAGAACCTGGAGCAAGACCAAGGAGACGAAGGGCAGACAGTGGCTACTCGGGCTGCGGCGACGGCTGCTGCTCCTACTACTGCTGCTGCGGCTGCTGTTGAACCATGTCCTTACCAGGACCTCCAACGGCACCACCCACAGAACCAGAACCCCCGGAGTCAGCACTCCCAGAACTCGCAACCCCAGAACCAGCACCCCCAGAGTCAGCACCCCCACAACCAACACCCTCAACACCAACACCTCCAACACCAGCACCCCCAGAACCAGCACCCCCAGAGCCCACTGCTCCCTGAGGCTGTTGTGACGATTGCTGCTGCTGCTGAGGCAAGGGGGGAAGCGGCTGAGGTGACTGGGGTACTGGAATTACAGGAACAGCAGGCGTGCCCCCAGCAGCTGGGTCTCCAGAGTCAGTTGACTCCCCCCCAGGCGCAACCGAGGGGAACTGAGTGGCATGGGAGACACCAGACTGGGGCGGGCGGGGCGGGAGGGGTGCGACAGGTGGGGCAGGGACAAGGAAGAGAGGAGGAGGAGGCACAGGAGTGTTGCAGTGCGGGAAGCGCCGGTAGTAGGGGAGCGTCTCGTTGAAGGTAACGTCACAAGAGTGGTAAAAGCAGCGGTGTGACGGGCGTCAGAGGCATCAAGCGGAAACCCCAGGAAGACACAAGGAAGGGTGCGGGCTGAGAGATTGTCCGCGCGAGTGTCGCGGACGTGAGCAAGGTTGCCCCAGACGTGGAATGTAGACGAGTCACCAGGAGACCCGGTTCAGAGGAGGGTCGGTGAAACCTGTGGCAACTGGGAGCGCTGCCACAGGTTAAGCTGGTGAGCACAGTAGCGCACGGAGAACGGCCAAAGAAAATGGGGTGCACCGGCGTGGACCATAGAGGTGCGAGCAACCTCCATGATCAGGCCAATGCGTCGCTCGGCGACCCCATTCTGCTGTGGGGATTTCGGCAGTGTGTACATCTCACGGATGCCCTCCGCACGACAGAACTGTCCTAGAGTGCCAGAGATGAACTCACCACCACGGTTAGAGTGTAAGCGACCTACAGGCAGGCGGTGGTGGGTGCGAACAGCAAGAAGCCACAGGAGGAGAATGGTAGGCATATCGGCCTTCTGCTCCAACGAGAACATTGTGGTGAAGCGCAAGAAGTTGTCAACAACGAGTAGAAAGTAGCGCTCCCGACTAAGACCATGGACTATGGCAGGGCCCCAGACGTCCATGTGCAGTGTCTGTATCGGCGATGGGGTAGGAGGAAACGAGGAGTGAGGCGCAACGCGCTGCCGGCCCTCGATGCTGGACGTGCACAGTGGCGCTACCGACGTAGGCAGGGCGGGAAGTGACGCAGGGAGACCAGTGACTAGACCATGCTGGGACATGTGACTAAGACGCGGGAGTGCAGGGTAACCTAATCGGTGGTGCCACAAAAGGGTCGGGTGGGCTATGGAGCGACAGGAGCATGATGCGACAACCACGGCAGACGAAGGAGTCGGCGAGGACTCCGTGTGTAGTGTAAAGAGACTTGACCCGGGGTCATGCTCAAATGTGGCTTTTTGCCGACTGGTGGCTGTGTCTGTGCAAGCGGCTTGTCTCTCACGGCGAGGGAACGTAGTGGTGATGCCTCGGTCGCGATGATGATTGACACCCACTAGGTTCCTGGCAAACGAGGGGATGTGCAGACCGGGGAGGGAACCGGAGGGGACAGCTGGATTAGGGAGAGTTGTGGTGCTACGTGCGACAGTTGTGGCGGAGGAGTCTGTTAGTGCGACGCGGACAGGCGCAGGAAGCGGGGTGAGAGCAGAACTGTCTCTAAAGAAGCAACGAGATGTGCCCGAGTCAAGGATGAAGGAGAGGGGCGCCGCAGGAGGGGCAGGGGAGGAGCCTAGGGGACATGTAGTAGAGGTTCCTAGACTTGACACAGTTGTGGGACCTAGACCCCTAGGCCCTAAGGCCCCCGATCCTTGAGAGAAACCACACTGGCCCCGGGGCAGTGACTGCCCCGGGGCCGCACCTTCAAAGCCTCCACCTCGTCTAGCACCCCCAAGACCCCATTGTGACTGCTGCCGCTGCTGCTACAGCTGCGGCACTGGCCAGAGAGCCCGGAAGCAGACGTCGAGGTCATGGAGCCAGAAGCCAAGGAGGTAAATAATGTGATCCTCTAGGAGCGTGCAGTCTAGGAGTGGGCTCACCAGCTGTAGATGGCGAGCGAGAAATCAGAGAGCGGAGGGAAGTGCACGGCGGTCTGGCCAAGGGACTGACCCAAATGAGGCCATCTTGCCGAGAGGAGAGGCGTCGAAGATCTCTAGAAACGAAGAGGAGTTGGACAGCAAACGAGGAGTGAGTACACGCGAGAGGATCTACTAGAAGCAGTACGCCGAGGAGCTAGCTAGGAGGTAGTAGGACTTGCGACACAGGGCAAAGGACAGTCCACAGGGCACATGGGACTCACATGGCTGGCGGCCGACTGGCGGCTGGCGGCTGACTGCCGCTGGCGGCTGGTGGTAGCGGCTGGCCGCGAGTGGTGGCAGCTGGCGGCTGACGGCTAGGGGTTGGCGGTCGGCGGCTGGCGGCTGGTGACTGGTGCTGTCGGCTGGTGGCCGGCTGCTGGAGGCCGAAGCTAACGGTGGGCAACAGCAGTGGCGGCAGGAGTAGCAGCTCCAGCTGCAGAGGTAGCGGCGGCTGTAGCGGCAGCGGCGGCAGCGGCTGCAATGGCGGCAGCAGTGGCTGCGGTACTGGCGGCTACAACGACAGTGGGCGGCAGTAGGAGGCAGCTGGCGGCAGCAGGCAATAGTAGCCGCAGTAGTGCCAGTGCGCAGCACCAGCCAGCGCTGGCTACTGGCTGCTGGCAATAGGCTGCTGGCTGCTGGCGGCTGGCGCTGGCTGCTAGCTGCTGGTAGCGGCGCTGCTGGCTGCTAGCACTGCTGTAAGCTGGCACTGGCTAGCACTGGCGAGCTAGCTGGTGCTGGCTGCTAGCGCTGGCGAGCTGGCGCTGGTGGCAAGCAGGTGAGCAGGCGGGTGGGCGAGTAAGCGAGCATACAGACTGGCGAGCAGGCGAGCGTGCGAGCTTGCGAGCCGGCGAGTTCTTGAGCAGGCGAGCGGGCAAGCAAGCGAGTCGGGCGGCGAGCAAGAGAGCAGTCGGGCGGGTGAGCAGGCGAGCGTGCGAGCTGGCGAGCAGACGGGCTGGCGGGCTGGCGCGAGCTGGCGTAGGCTACGAGCGGGTGGCAAGAGGTAGGACGGCTACGAACTAAGGCGCTGGCGCATGCGGGCCAGCGGCGTCTGGTGTGAGCTACTCGACGAAGAGGAGAGGGCGGAGAGGGGACGAGCTACGAGGTGCGCAATTAGGGCCGAGGCAACCTAGGCTAGGGTGTGCTAGAGCGGAAGCGTGAGAAGAGGGCGAGACCCAGCTCGAGATGCCATGTTAGCTTGTCGAGATAATAATGAACCAAGGGAAAATATCGAGGTCTACAAAGGTAGGACTGTACCTTCTAAGAACTGACCTAACTAAGGCTATAACAAATATATACTAGCTAGCCTAGATAATTATATTTGTTGACACCAATAGCTCCTCACTTGCAGGGATTGTGATTGTGTACTACTTCTTATATTATCTTGACTGGCCTTGTGACTCTTGTTCTAGTGGCTGGACTAGTAGTGCTGCCTTGGGTTACTCTTGTTTAGCTTGTACTTTTGCTAACTGGTCTTTAAACCCTTGCCTCAGAGGTAGGACTAGTAGTGTCGTGCCGCCCTGAGCTGCGTGTCTCTTGCTAGGCACTGCCCCTTGTCCAGCCTAGGGGGTGTGTCAACTTATGCATTTGTAATGTAATGTCTAGTAATAGGCTAGACAGGTATGTGCTCTTAGGGAGTACAACCCACAACTCATATAACACCTAGTATGCCCTTGCTTAGTTCACTTTTCTACTTTGAGAGAGGTTGTCTGGGAAGAGGATGGTAAGAACACACTCTAATGCCTTGACAAGAGTAAGAAAACTGTACTACCCGTCACATTGGTGGGAAGTCACCCTGCGCCCATACCACCAGGTGGGAGGAATCAGTCATAAAGTCACTAGTCCTAACCACTGGGACGATAAGGGATATCCTCAGGAGAGTTAGGCTCCATATATCCACCTTCCCCAGGGAAAGCCTCCCTAGTACCCTCCCTAGACAGAGAAGAGGTCCGACACCGCTATCCCAGTGCCACAACACACCCTCCCGCCGAGATAACGTGTACACCAGGAATTGAACCCTGGACCACTCTGATACCAAGCCATAAAGTCACCAACCCTAACCATTGGGACAAAAAGGGATATCTTCTAAAAAATTAGGCTTCATATATCCACCTTCCCCAAGGAAAGCCTCCCTAATACCCTCCATAGGGAGAGAAGAGGTCCGATAGGGCTATCCCAGTGCCACGACAGATTCATTCACCTTAGCCATATGTGACAAATCAGGAATTTCATAGCATACATGCGATACATACCCAACCCAATCTACTGCTACTTCTTATTGCACAATGTATTAGCAAGGATCTTGGAGTGTACAGCTAAAGCTTCTGAGCCGTAGTGTACTCCATCCGGCTTCCATATAAGCTCCGGCCGATCCTCGGTGGTCTGGTAAAAATCTGCGGTAGTGTAGCCTTCCTCTTGAAACCTCTTGTACGCGTAAGCTTGATATATCTCGTGATACTGCCGAACCGTGAAATAGTCTTTCCCTGTCACCTTGCCTGCATAGGCAATTGGGGTGATGGGAAGTGGGGGGGAGGGAGGGGGGGAGGGAGGGGGGGAGGAGGGTGGGAAATAAGAAACTGCGATGGGAGGAAACCTCCAGTGTGCATAAGCTTGATACATTTCGTTATTCTGCCGCACTGTGAATAGTCTTTCCCAGTCACCTTGCCTGCACGCATTGGAGATGGTGGGAAGGGAGGGGGGGGAGGAGGGTGGGAAATATGAAACTGGGATGGGTGGAAACTTCCTGTATGCGTACGTTGGATATATTTTGTGGTACTGGCGTACTGTGAAACAATCTTGCCTGGTCACCTTGCCTGTTGATGGTGGTGGAGGTGCAGGGAGGGAAACCAACACTCCCCCGCTCGGCCCCCCCACAAAAAAGAAGAAGAAAAGAAGTGAATGAAATGGTGCCAATGTTTTAGCCGTGTAGCTGATGTCCCTAAGTTTTTGTTTGCTTAACAATCAACCTCCCACGTGGCCAGATATAGTGGGCCTTCCACCATAGCAGCTTGCCTCTATCCCAGTTGTACGTCCTTCTCAGCAGCTGCAGCAACTCTTCTGCCTCCCTTTCACCTCTCCTCTCGCTCACATCCCCCTCCACCCTCCTCCTCCCCCCTCTCTCCCCGCTCACCTGGCCAGATGTAGTGCGCCTTCCACCATAGCAGCATGCCCTTATCCCGGTTGTACGTCCCTCTCAGCAGCTGTAGCAGCTCCTCTGTGTCCTTTTTGAAGGTTGCTACATCCAGGTCCGGTGGGGGCCGGCGATTCCAACCAATCACCTGTGAGAAGGGAAGGGAAGAGTGCAGGAAGAGGGTAAGGGGGTCAAGATCAGCTGTAGCATCTGTAGCAGATCGTGTGCCCCAATGTGTCACCTTGTGTGCCCCTATGCTTCTCACTCACCTCATGTGCACCAATGCTCGCCTCATGTGCCCCCATGTCTCACCTCATGTGCCCGTATGCTTCCCACTCACCTCATGTGCTCCCATCCTCCTGATTAGGAAATCCGGCTGCTGCCCCCCCCCTGCTTGAATGCATGTATGAGATTGAGTTAATAAGCATACTAAGCCTCATGCTCCAATGCTTCTCACTCACCTCGTGTGCCCCCATGCTCATGATTAGGAAATCAGGCTGCTGCCCCCCCGGCTGCTTGAACGACTGGAGGAACTTGTTGTTGAGATCACGCTCCTCCGTAGTATTCTCCTGTAGAGGGGGGGAGAGAGGCGAGGAATCGAAGAGGAGATGACATTTGAGACAGCTGAGAAGTAGTCCCCCTGGGGACCGGCTGCTTTAACGACTCGAGGAACTTGTTGTTGCGACCACGCTCCTCTGTAGTGTTCTCCTGTAGAGAGGGGGGTAGGCGAAAGAAAAGAGACGAATGGAGAGGAGTGAAGAGGAGTGAAGACGAGTGAAGAGGAGTGAAGAGGACTGGAGGAGCTTGTTGTTGAGATCGCGCTCCTCCGTGGTGATCTCCTGAAGCAAAGGACGGGAAACAAGTGGAGAGACTAAGCAGCAGGAAGACGACGGGAGATGACAACAGAGGAGCTCGTTGCTCAGAGCACACTCCTCTGTGGTGCTCTCCTACAGTGGAAGGTAGGAAAAGGAACTAAAATGAGAGGAGAGGAGTGAAGGGGAATGGAGAGGAGTGAAGGGGAATGGAGAGGAGTGAAGGGGAATGGAGAGGAGTGAAGGGGAATGGAGAGTGAGTGCCACAACCTGGTGCTACAGGCTGGTGCTAAAGCAAGGTGCCACAGCCCGGCGTCCAGCTAACTTGCCTGGCGTCCAGCTAACTTGCCGGGCGTCCAGCTAACTTGGCTGGCGTCCAGCTAACTTGGCTGGCGTCCAGCTAACTCGGCTGGCGTCCAGCTAACTTGCTGCGCGTCCAGCTAACTTGCCTGGCATCCAGTTAACTCGCCTGGCGTCCAGGTAACTTGCCAGACGTCCAGCTAACTTGCTGGGCGTCCAGCTAACTTGGCTGGCGTCCAGCTAACTTGGCTGACGTCCAGCTAACTCGGCTGGCGTCCAGCTAACTCGGCTGGCGCCCAGCTAACTTGGCTGGCGTCCAGCTAACTTGCCTGGCGTCCAGCTAACTCAACATAGGGAAAACCTTTCGCCAAAAGGGTTGGCTCGTTTCGCCAAAAGGTTTTGGTGAATGGTTTCGCCAAAACATTTAGCCAAATCCATTCGGAAAAAGCTTTCGCAAAAACCATTCGCCTAGACCATTAGCCAAAAGCTTTCGCCAAAACCTTTAGCCAAAAGCATTCGTCAGAACCTTTCGCCAAAAGCTTTTGCCAAATCCATTAGCCAAAACCTTTCGCGAAAAACATTTGCCCAAACCTTTTGCCGAAACCTTTCGCCAAAACCATTCGTCAAAACCATTGGCCAAAACCATTTGCCAAAAAGCTTTCACCAAAACATTTCGCCAAAACCTTTCGCCAAAACCATTCGCCAAAAGCTTTCGCCAAAACCACTTGCCATAAGGTTTCGCCAAAAACATTCGCCAAAACCATTCGTCAAAACCATTCGCCAAAACCTTTCGCCAAAACTTTCTCTAAAAGCTTTCGCCAAAAGCTGTCGCCAAAACCATTCGCCAAAAGCTTTTGTCAAAACCGTTCGCCAAAAGCTTTCGTCATAACCGTTCGCCAAAACCTTTCGTTAAAAGCATTTGCCAAAACCATTCGCCATAAGCTTCCGCGCCAAAACCTTGCGCCAAAACCATTCGCCAAGGAGGAGAGTGAAGAGTGAAGAGGAATAGAGGAATGCAGAGGAGTGAGGAGGAATGGAGAGGAGTGAGGAGGAATGGAGAGGAGTGAGGAGGAATGGAGAGGAGTGAGGAGGAATGGAGAGGAAGGTAATGGCATATGAAGAGCAGCAATGAGGAGCTAGTGGTTCCTATCACGCTCCTACGCGGTGTTCGTCCGGGGTGAGAGGCAGGAGGGGAGAACAAAGAGGCACAGAGTAGAGGCACAGAGAGGCAGGAGGGGAGAACAAAGAGGCACAGGGGATGGTTATAGCTGGTGAGAAGGGGCCTCTCAGTGTCTGCACCGCCCAACCCACCGGCTATAACCATCCCCTGCTTTCGCCTTGTCATCTACCACCCACCCTGTAAGCCCTCACCTCGGGGTGCCTCTGGTGGGCCATCTTCCCTCGGAACAAATAAGTCACGCGCGGCCACTCGTCTCGCGACATAAGCAGACGGCGCCTGCCGCCCAGCCTCCTCTCGTCTCCAACACTCTTACCCTCCTCCTCTCCTCCTCCCACCTCCTCTGGCGCCTCCCACTCCTCCATCACCCCTCCCTCCAGCCCACTCCACGCCCCATCCACTGCTCTATTCCCCCCATTTGCCCCTCCATTCCACCAACCACCCTCAGCACCTCCCCCCTCTCCTCCTCCCCCTAGTGGCCCACCACCTGACAGTCTCCTCCTCCTCCCCCCACCTCCCCCCTTCCCCCCCTCTGCCACCTGCTGGTCCGCCCTCGTATCCAGCAGAGTGCTCCGCGTCTTGTCCCCATCCCACGACCGCCTCTGCATGCCACACTGCCGCGCAAACTCATTAGCAAGTAATCGAGAGAGGGAATCCCCAAAAAAGTGTATCCACTTCCCCTTGAGGCATTCTCTGAGGCTATCTGTGGAAATGTCCCGGTACTGACAGTTGTCGGCCTCCCATTGACTGTAGCTTTTCCACCTACCCGGCGATGCTCCGTCCGTGCACAGCGGCTTCTCCGTCCGCTTCGGGAACTTTCGCCTGCCCGACTGCCCGTTCGGGCAGCTGCAGTTGACAAACCCGGGAGCAGTGCAAACTGGCCCGATTGTGGGCGGCGGAGTGAGGGAGCACTCGGGGCATTGGGGGCAGGAGCGGGCGGCAAGTGCAGCCGTCCATTTGCCTGTCCTCCTCACCGTAGCTCCTACGATGTGGCGCAAACGCGCGAAATCCTGTGTGATTGGTGGGTTGGGGAGCATAGGCACACATGCACGGTGGGAGTCGGAAGGAGGGAGGTGGAGCGAGGGAGCACTCGTAGCGCTGGGGACAGGAGCAGGTGGCAAGTGCTGCCGTCCATTTGCCTGTCCTCCTCACTGTAGCTCCTACGATGTGGAGCAAACACGCAAGGTCCTGGGGGGGTGGGGGAGACATGATGCAGCAGGGTAGTGGGAAGAGGAAGAGAATCTAACTGCCTATCCTTCTCACTGTAGCTCCTATTCACTGCAGCTCCTATGATGCGGCGCAAACATGCAAAGTCCTGCTCAGTAGGGGTTGGGTGGAAGGAACAGTCCTGGCATTGAGGGAGGCAAGAGCGGGTGGCAAGAGCGGGTGGCAAGAGCGGGCGGCAAGAGCGGCAGTCCGTTTCACTGTTCTCCGTACCATAGCTCCTAAGGACTGGACAAACATGTGCTTCGACCCGTTATCGGCAACAGCGCAGTAAACACGGTGAAAACAAATTAATGAAAAGCCATCGAGACCTTTTAAGAACATTAACTCACTGTTTCTTCCATTGATGCTCGGACTTCATCTGCCACCTGTTGCGCAGCCACCTCGACCAGCTGGCGCATGCTGGCGTTCGCTGGGATTGCCACGTCAGCAGGCGCTGATGTGTCCGCCTCTGCCACTGCTGCTGCTGAGTCAGCAGCCTACACAAGGGACCATCGAAAGAGGATGAGGAAAAAAGAGCCAAAAAGAGGGTTTGGGAAGGGGGGGGGAGGGAGGAGGTTAGGTGGGGGGGGCACGGTTAGTTAAGGGGAGTTGCTTTCGAGTCGACTCAAAAGAGGAGTTGCGAGCGTTAAGGAGAGTGAATTGTTGAACTCGATGCATACGGATGAAAGACACCGCGATTTTACCGTTAGGGTAGCAAAGTTGCTCACACACCTACACACACACTTGCTCACACCCCAGCACACACACTCACTCACTCACTCTCACACAAACACGAACAGACCCACACACTCCACACACACTCACTGCGAGCTATTTTTGAGGCGCCTAAAAAACAAACACACACTAATCCACACACTCTGCACACTCCACAGACAAACCCACGCACAAACCCACACACAAACCCACGCACAGATCCACGCACAAACCCACACACAGACCCACACACAGACCCACGCACAGACCGACGCACAGACCCACGCACAGACCCACACACAGACTCACACACAGACCCACGCACAGACCCACTCACTGCGAGCTTGGCCAGTGACGCCTGCAGCACCCCAACGAGCTTCTTGTTGTAATTCATCTGCGAGGGGGGAGAGGCAGAGAGTGGCAGAGAGTGGCAGAGAGTGGCAGAGAGTGGCAGAGAGTGGCAGAGAGTGGCAGAGTGCAGAGAGGCAATGGAAGGGCTAAGGAGAGCTTGGAGAGAGATGCCTGCAGCACGCTGACGAGCTCCTTGTTGTGATTCATTTGAGAGAGGGGGCGAGGCAGAGGGAGACTTGTGAGTCGACTCAAAAGTCACCTCGTTACAATGTGATGCCTGCAGCACCCCGACCAGCATCCCCGACCAGCATCCCCGACCAGCATCTGTCGTCCAGCATCCCGGACCAGCATCCCCGGTCACCAGCCCCGGCCAGCATCCCCGGCCAGCATCCCCGGCCAGCATCCCCGGCCAGCATCCCCGGCCAGCATCCCCGGCCAGCATCCCCGGCCAGCATCCCCGACCAGCATCCCCGGCCAGCATCCCCCACCAGCACGACCAGCATCCCCGGCCAGCACTGCTTTCGAGTGGACTCAAGACCAGAACAGATCTATCCCATTCAGGCGCACGCCCGTGCCATCATCACCCCACCCACCCACGCTACCACTGACCCACACACCCACGCTCCCAGGCATTCCCGCACCCACGCGCCCATGCATCCATGTACCCACGCGCCCATGCATCCATGTACCCACGCGCCCACCCGGCCATGCCTCCAGCCATTCACACAGCCCAGTGCCCACCCAACCGCTCATCCAGTCCACACACCTGCTCAGCCTTCCTGCTTCTCCACCACTTGAACGTGCTTCCTCCAGCCTACCTACACTTTTCTCAGAACCTTGTATCATACAGCCCACCCAACCACTCATCCTCTCCTGTCCAGACACTTGCTCAGCTTACTTACTTCCCCAGCACTTTTAGACGCTACTCCAGATCCCAGAACCTTTAGTCATACAGCCCACCAACCATTCATCATCCACTGACCAGTCCAGACATTTATTCAGCCTACCTACCTCCCCAGGACTTTTTAGGTGCTTCCCAGGTCCGTTTTTGAGTCGACTCAATAGCAGACTCATCAACCACCCCACCCACCGACCCACCCGCAGACCCATCCACCGACTCATTTTCAGCCTACCTGCTTCTCCAGCACTTTCAGGTGCTTTCCCAGATCGCCACCCTGCCGGGAAAGAAGGGGAGAAATAACCAGAACACAGGAAATGTGTAAGCACGCCTGAGCATGCTTTTGTGAGTAATAAGTCGAGTTTTGAGTCGACTCAAAAGTCAGCTCAGAAATCGACTTATAACAGCAACCAGAACACATGAAACGTGTTAACATGCCTGAAAATGTTTTTTGAAGCGCTTAAAAGAGAAATGTCTCCCCTTTTGCTGAGCGTTCTCTTGCTGAGAAATGTCGCCGAGCTCTCTCTTGCAGGCTCTGAACATGCTGCGAAAGGTTGAGAGTGGCTGTAAGGGCACGCAGCCACACGGCCAATCCGAGCCATAAGCCCCAAAAATAGTTGTAGCTCGGCTTACCTGCCGTCCCAGTAGCTGTAGCTGAAGTAAGTCGCATCGGCCAAGGGACGGCCGTGAGTAGGTGAACGCGAAAACAACGGCGGCTAGAGCCAGCAGCGACACGGCGAGCGCGGGAAATACGCGGGAGAGGAACGAGGAGGAAGCGGAAGCGGACGATCCGGCGAAAATGGCGCCGGAATTTCCGGCGGAGGATGCGGCGTGTGGCGTGGAGGAACGGGAGGAGACGCCGGATCGTTGAGAGGAGCGAGGGCCGGCCATGGCGTGACGAAATTAAAAACGGGAAAATAATATGGTGTCTAGGGTTGGGAGTTTGAAACTGGTGTCTACTATTGAGCCGAGTGCTGCTGAGCCGAGTGCTTCAAATGGTGTCTACTTTTGAGGTGCTTCAAATGGTGTCTATTATTGAGGTGCTTCAAATGGTGTCTACTATTGAGGTGCTTCAAATGGTGTCTACTGTTGAGGTGCTTCAAAGGAGACGCCGGATCGTTGAGAGGAGCCGGTGCCTATTTCTGAGGTGCCTCAAAAATAGACTCCTCTCGCGAGGAGCGGGTGCCAGCCATGGCGGGAGGAGATACGAGGTGATTGGAGATCGCGTTTAGAGTTGGTGATTAAGAACGGTTTCTGCTAAGAGGGAGACGCCCCCCGGCCATGGCGAGAAGGGGAATGAGATCGCAATGAAGGGATTTCAAGAGCTAGCTGAGACGGTGCTAACAGGATAGAGGAATACGCAAGCGAGTCGTTCTAAACACAGCAAAAGCGGAAACGCGAATGCGGATTGCCAAACGCGTACATGCTCGCGCAGGGCAAGGAATGGGAGGGGATTTCAACTAATGGAAGAAGATTATGTAGTATATACGCGTTGGTCAGGTATGACGGAGATAACGGATTGTGAAGGGCGACGAAAGAGCACTGCTTGGCTCAACCACCTCGCCCGCAGCACTTGCTGGAAAATAACTCGGTAATGTACATAATTGGATGACTGAATTGTGGGGAGGATAGTATAACATCGTACCTTCTATATGTGCCTGAAACACGGCTTTCCTCTATTCAATTATTATAGCATGGATCAATTTATCCCTCTCAATTATCAACGAAAATGAATCATAAGGGAAATACTTACCTCTGTACGGCTTATGAAATCTTTGATTCAAAACCGTTTGGTTCTAAAGTATGGAAGTGATGAGATACTGGTGTACTCTTCTGGTGTTTTCATGAGCAGTTGGATTCTGTGCTCATGTCTGACACGCGTCTGTGGCACTCGACGCGCTTCAAAATGGCGGGAAGCAGGAAAATGGAAACGCCCTCCCTTTCTCGCCTGTTGAAATGCGAAGGGCGGACTGCTGTGTTCAGAATTTCGCCTACTCGCTGCTGGCGAAGCGAGCAATGGAAAGCGACAAAGACACCTGTTCGCTAGCCTGCCGGTCGCCGCTTCCTACCGGCACACCTCAACCACAATGTTGCATGTCGGTCACCCTTGTCCTCCCATGCCCATTTTCCAACCAATCGCGAATCCGGAAACCAGCTACACGTTTCAGTCAGCCAGCCCTGCTGCCTCCGCCATGTCGTTCCCGGGCAGGCTGTTACATCGTGAACGTTTACGACGAGTAGGTTCCCCCGCCAACACACAACCATCCAACCGTGTATAGACCCACCCTCAGAAAGCAGCAGAGCAAAGCAGCACCGAGAATTCCAGCCAGCCATCAGTATCCCCTCACAGTTCCGCTTGACCTCTTCCCTCACAACGCTTCCCTCGGGATTATCCCAAGTTATCGCTATCTGTATCACCTTATCTCTTGTAATTTGCTAAAGCATCTCTCAAATCCCTCACCTCTCAACGCTTACCTACTGATATAACCTATCCATCATCCGCCTCCTCCCACCAGCACCTCACTCATCACCATAGCATTACCCCTAACCAGCAGCCAGCATCTACTCACTGGCCACGATACGATTTTGTCCCTATCGTTCTGAGTTTCCCTGGCATTTTTTTTCAGTCTTGTCCTTCCTTATCGGGACCTGAGCTTTCATGTAGGAATGGCGTCGTCGGATAAGAAGTGCCGTGCTGGAAGTGACTAGAGTCGCTTCTGTTCAGGAGGAACTTTTAGTCGACTCAAAGTCATCTGACTCCTGACGTTTCCTAGAAAGTGGTTTTTTTAAGATCGACTAGTAGTAAGAGCTCGTCGTCCGTATGCAGGAGCGTTCGCATACGCACGCGTGCTTCGTACCAGAACCGACGATTTGGTTGAAAAGCTTCCCGATTTGGGAAGCAAAAAGCGGTAGGAAGGCTTCTGCTGTCGTATACTCCTTAGGGCTGCGTATTGCCTAGAACCTAACTTAACTGTAACTGCCTTAATCTCCAAGTAGCAATGGACGGTTATGGCCAACACTCGGCTCAGCAGCAATACCAGCCTTCTCAGCAGCAGCAGCAGCAGCAGCAACAGCAACAGTCTCAGCAGTACCAGCAGCAGCAGCAGCAGCCGCCGCAGCCGCAGCAACAGATGGCGTATCAGCAGCAACCGCAGCAGCAGCAGCAGCCGTACGTGCAGCAGCAGCAGTTTCAGCAACAGCCGCAGCAGCAGCAGCAGCCTCAACAGAATTGGAGTGGTGGGAATGCACCGTCTGGTCAAGGAATGGCGGACAACTACGGTTCCTATCAGGTCAGAAACGAACAAATGAAGGTTATGAGTCCAGATAAATATCGGTCAGTTCACGAAATTGATTTCCGTGCTTCGCGCTTGCATGAATTGCGGATCTCTAGGTTTCGTTTTTGTAATGCACTATCTGGAGGCGCGTATAAGAGCCTTGCCATCTTCACTTTCGTGTGCCGCGCGTCTTTTTCTCTTTTTTCTTTCTTCCCAACCACGGGAAGGTACGCCAGTCGCACCCCAGATTATCAATCGCTCGACCTCCTCGTCCCTCGCTTCCGTCTCCATCGTACCTCTCTCCATTCCGCTGTCCCTTCAACCGTTCCCGTCCACTCCCCCTTCGCCTCTGTTCCCCCTTCCCCCGCGCGCCCACCCTCAGGGCGCAACACCCGGCCAGCGCATTCTAGCAACGGCGGGCCTCCTGGGGCCCACCTCCATGATGGGGGTTTCCCCCGTTCCCCCCGGCGCAACTCCGAGCGCGGGGGGAGCAGTTCCAGGGGGAGGAGCCGGTGCGCCTGCTTCCGCGCAGCAGCAGCCCGCGGACGTGCAAGCGCAGGTGGCGCTGCTGGCGGGCCAATTAGACGACGCCACGCTGCTGCGTCTACTGCAGCAGCGCGCAGCGCAGGGCTCGCTGCTAACGAGCGTAGCCGCGGGATTCGGTCTCACGAGCGCAGGAGGCGGAGCTCCCCCCGGCGCGCCTGGCGGAGGCCCAGGGGGGCCTGGCCGACCTGGCGCTCCCGCGGGTGCTCCTGGCGCGCAAGGAGTGGCTCCGCCGGGTCCGGGGGGACCTGCGTCAGGAGGACCAGGGGGAGGGCCTCCCGGAGGTCCGGGAGGACAAGGGGGGCAGATGTTAGGTCCGCAAGGGGGGGCGCAGGTAGGGGGAGGAGGGGGAGTGGGCGGAGGGATGGGGCTGAAGGTGCCTCAGTTTCGGCAGCAACCACATGTGAGTCCCCCCTGGTTCCCCAGGCCACCTTTTGACCAGTACTCTCAATCCCCTACCTTATCCCCACCTTCCGTTCCCCCCCTACTCTTCGCCCTCCTCCCCAACCCCCCTTCCCCCTTTTCCCCTCTTCCTCTTCCCCCAACTACCTCTTCCCTGTCTGCTCCCTCACGACACCAGTCCAGCTGCAGAGTTCAACGGACTCGTTTCAAACCCGCCTCTTTACTTCCCGCACCCCCCTCTCCCCCTTCTCATCTCCCCCTTCTCGTCGCCCCCCCTTCCCTTTCCCTGCGTTTCCGGCTGCCAGGCCCAGGACACCCCCCCAGCCCCAGCGTTCAACGGACTCGTATCAAATCCGCCGCCGATGCAACCCCAGCACCCCACTTCCATGCAACCTCAACACGCCAACTCCCTGCAGCCGCAGCAGCAGCAGCAGCAGCCTCCCATGCCCCACCACCCACCCTCCACCCATCAGCAGCAGCAGCAGCCCACTTTGCAGTCCTCCAACTCCTTTCACCAGGGGATGTCTCAGCCGCCCAGCTCACTCCCCCAGCCACACTCTCAGATACAGACAATTCCGGCCGCCGGCGACGCTCCCCCCTCTCTCATGCCCTCACAGTCGAGTGCTGGCGTGGGGGGAGTGGGGGGAGGCGCGCAGGGGGGTGGGGGAGCAGGGGGAAGTGCAGGGGGTGGGGGAGGCGGGGGAGGAGGAGGAGGGGGAGGAGGGGGGAAACCGAGGGCAAGGGCGAGACGAGGGCAAGCAACGGACCCTCACAGCATTGCAGAGAGAGTGAGTGAGGGTAGGAGAGTGGAAGGAGGGAGGGGAGGAGGGAAGGAGGGAGGGAGGGAAGGAGGGAGGGAAGGAGGGAGGGAGGGATGGGGGGAGGGGGAGGGAAGAACTAATTCTTATATCTGCCTCAAGAACGCATAGCAGAGGGAATGTGATCGCTGCAGGATCTGGTGCCCCACTCCAATGTCTGCCTCCCCTCCCCTGCCCCCCCCTTCCCCTGTTGCCTCGCTTCCCCCCGTTGCCTCCCTTCCCCGCAATGGCCTCCGTTTGGCAGTTGCGCCGAGAGCGCATAGCAGAGCGAATGCTCGCTCTGCCGGACCTGGTGCATGATTCTAACGACTGCCCTCCTCCCCCACCCCCCCCCCCCCCCCCCCCCCCCTTCCCCCATTTGCACTGCTTACCCCGTCCTTTCCCCCTGTCAGCTGCGCCGAGAGCGCATAGCTGAGCGGATGCGCGCCCTGCAGGACTTAGTGCCCAACTCTAATCGTGTGGATAAGGCATCCATGCTGGATGACATCATCGACTATGTCAAGTTCCTGCAGCTGCAAGTCAAGGTACGCCTTTCTCCTTCCCCCTTACCCTTGGGCCTCTCGTGCAATTCCTCCCTTCGAGTGACATCCATACTAGACGACATCATCGACTACGTCAAGTTCCTGCAGCTGCAGGTCAAGGTAAGTGCTTCTCGTTTTCCCTGCCTTTCCTCTCTCGCTCTCTGCTTGCCTCCCCTCCTGCCTCTCCCTCACTTCATCCCTCTAATCGCGTGGACAAGGCGTCCATGCTGGACGACATTATCGACTATGTCAAGTTCCTGCAGCGACAAGTCAAGGTACGCCATTCTCCTTCTTTCTTTCCATCTCTCTGCCCTTCATTCTGTCTCAAACGGACTTTCGTACTAGATATCTGTCCCCCACTCTCTCCAACCGCGTGGATAAGGCGTCCATGCTGGACGACATCACCGACTCCGCCAAGTTCCTGCAGCTGCAGGTCTGCAGGTCAGGGTAAGTGCTTCGCTTTCCCCGGAGCATTTGATTGATTTCCCTATTCGTGGTTCTGTCCCCTCGCTCAGCTTCCTCTCTGTCCCCTCGCTCAGCTTCCTCTCTGTCCCCTCGCTCAGCTTCCTCTCTGTCCCCTCGCTCAGCTTCCTCTCTGTCCCCTCGCTCAGCTTCCTCTCTGTCCCCTCGCTCAGCTTCCTCTCTGTCCCCTCGCTCAGCTTCCTCTCTGTCCCCTCGCTCAGCTTCCTCTCTGTCCCCTCGCTCAGCTTCCTCTCTGTCCCCTCGCTCAGCTTCCTCTCTGTCCCCTCGCTCAGCTTCCTCTCTGTCCCCTCGCTCAGCTTCCTCTCTGTCCCCTGCTCTCCCCCCTCACGTTCTCAATCTGAATCGCCTAGCCGGCCCTGCCACTGATCCCGTGGCCACTCTGCTGGGTGTTCTGACTGCCTCTTCCCCCATCTTGTAACTGCAGACACTAATACGTTCTCTCCCATCCCACCTCGCCCCCTGCCCCACTCCATTCTCTCCCTTTTCACTCCACCCCCTCCCCCACTCCCCTTCTCCCCCCTTCCAGGTGCTCAACCTGAATCGCCTTGCGGGCCCTGCAACTGATGCTCTGGTCACTTTGCTTCTTTCGCCCGCCTATCCCTTCATCCCTCCCCCTTCCCCCCCCTCGACCTCTCTTCTCCCGTCCCAACCCTCACCCCGCCTCCCGCCCCTCAGGTGCTCAACCTGAATCGCCTGGCCGACCCTGTTTTGAGGTGCCACTATTCCCGACCACCTCACCGTCTCTCTCCCACAACCCTTTGCAAAAACTATCGCCCTCAGGTGCTCAACCTGAATCGCCTGGCCGGCCCTGCAGCCGATGCTGTTGTCACTCTACTGGCTGACTTGAACCCCGAGGTATGGGGGGTATTATGGGTATGGAAGGGAGTGGATGCATATGGATGGGTATGGATGGGTATGGCTGGATGACACAGCCGATGCTGTTGTCACTCTGCTGGCTGACTTGAACCCTGAGGTACGAGGGGTTATGGATTGGGTATGGATGGGTATGGATGGGTGTGGATGGGTATGGTTTGTGGATGAGGCACTCTGCTGGCTGACTTGAACACCAAGGTATGGTTTGAGTAGATATGGGCTATGCCTTTGAGGGTTTCGACCTTTCAGGTTCACCCTGCTTTCTGATTTTGAATCCCGAGGTATGCGAAGTTAGGGGTGTGGGCGTGTGAGGATCTCTCACTCATCAGAATCCCTGCTTCGCGCCCTGCTCCTTCTGGCTTCTTCGCGCCCTGCTCCTTCTGGCTTCTTCGCGCCCTGCTCCTTCTGGCTTCTTCGCGCCCTGCTCCTTCTGGCTTCTTCGCGCCCTGCTCCTTCTGGCTTCTTCGCGCCCTGCTCCTTCTGGCTTCTTCGCGCCCTGGTCCTTTGAGACGTCTCAAAATCAACCTCCTATCACGCTGCTTCTCCTTCTGCTCTTCGTGACTTGCAGGAAATCGATGATGGGCTCTCATCCTTCTCGCAGCAGGAGCTCACACTTATGGAACGACAGGTGGGTTACCATAGCAGGTGGTTACCACAGCAGGTGGGCTACCATAGCAGGTGGTTACCAGCCTAGTTTTGAGACGCCTCAATGACGGACTCTCATCCTTCTCGCAGCAGGAGCTTACGCTTATGGAAAGACAGGTGGGCTACCACAGCAGGTGGGTTACCACAGCAAGTGGGTTACCACATCAGGTGGGTTACCACAGCAGGTGGTTTACCACAGCAAGTGGGTTACCACAGCAAGTGGGTTACCACAGCAGGTGGGATACCACAGCAGGTGGGTTACCATAGCAGGTGGGTTACCACAGCAGGTGGGTTACCACAGCAGGTGGGTTGCCACAGCAAGTGGGTTACCACAGCAGGTGGGTTGCCACAGCAGGTGGGTTCCCACAGCAGGTGGGTTACCACAGCAGGTGGGTTACCACAGCAGGTGGGTTACCACAGCAGGTGGGTTACCACAGCAGGTGGGTTGCCACAGCAGCCACTTGCAAGGGGGTCTGCCTTATGGCTCTCCTCTTCGTCGCCCCTCCCCTGCCCCCCTTCCTGGTACCACAGGTAGCGTTATTAATGGAGCAGGATATGGGGGCAGCCATGCGCAAGGGGCTCTGGCTTATGGTCCTCCTCCTTCTTCCCCCCTCCCCTGCCCCCCTCCTGGTACTGCAGGTAGCGCTGTTAATGGAGCAGGATATGGGTGTGGCCATGCAGTACCTGCAAAGCAAGGGCCTCTGCCTCATGCCTCTCCTCCTCTTCCCACTCCTCTGCTCCCCGTTTCTTCCTCCATTCCCTTCTTCGCATTCCAGGTAGCACTGCTTATGGAGCAGGATATGGGAGCAGCCATGCAGTACCTGCAGAGCAAGGGCCTCTGCCTCATTCCTCTAGGGCTTGCAAATATGATGTCCAAGAGTAAAGGGGAGGACGGAGGGGAGGAGAGGGGAGGAGAGGGGGGTGGTGGTGGAGGGGGAGGGGGAGGGGAGGGGGGAGGTGGAGGAGGAAGAGGTGGAGGAGGTGGAGGAGGGGGAGAGTGGGGAGGAGGTGGGGTGGGAGGGAGTATGACTGCCCCTGGCGGACTGAATGGGGTTAGTGTTGGAGGGGGAGGTGGGCTAGGAGGAGAGGGGGGAGGAGGGAGAGGCAGCGGAGCAGGTGGGGGAGGAGGGGAGATGGATGTGAAGGTCGGTCCTATGCAGATGACTGGAGCAGCAGCAGCAGCTCCCGGAGGCTCTCCTGCTCTTGCTCCTGTAATGGCTGCTGCTGCTGCTGCCACCCCAACTGCTGTGCCTACTCTTACTAACCAAGCTGCTGCTGCCGGGCCCACTTCTGCAGGAGCAGGAGGCCCTTGGATGGCTGCACTGACTACTACTGCTAGCGAATCGCCTGCAAAAGGGGCTGCTGCTGGTGTGACAGGATCGCCCGTGCTGTCCCCAGCAACTGCAGGAGCAGCAGCAGCAGCAGCAGCAGCAGCCGCAGGAGCGTCCGCTGTACCAGCAGCAGCAGCAGCAGCAGCAGCAGCAGCAGCAGCAGGGGCATCGGTAGGGGTGGCACCTGGTAGCGCCTCTGACTCTCCTGCCGTTGCACCAAGAGCAGCAGCGCTACCGGCAGCCGGAGGAGCAGGAGGACCGGCAAATGGAGGGACTGGGTCCCCGTGTGTGAAAATGGAGGAGGTGGAAGAATGTGGGGGTGAGCGGGCTGATGGGGTGGTGGCAGGAGGAGGAGCAGGAGCAGGCGCAACTGGAGTAGCAGCAGGAGGAGGTGGTGAGGGTGCGGGGGATAAGGCTGAGAATAAGGGCAGCCCTATGCAGGGAGGTCCTATTGGAGAGGGAAGTTGTGCCATGAAGCAATTTGGGCTGAATGGTATGGTGGCTGCAGCTGTTGCTGGTGCTGCTGCTGGGGGTGTTTCTGCCGTTGCTGGGGATGCTGGAGCGTCTGCTATGGAGGGGATTACAACAGCATCGTAATGAACTATTATGAAAGCTAAATGAGATACTTGTATGCACTGTGTGTGCTTTGCTGACATGTTGTGCGTGTGCCTCCTGACTCCTACTCCTGAACAAGGAGGTGGTTGTGGTTGTGCTGCTGTTGGTGTGTGACACCCCATTATTATCCCCTTCTCATTCCTAGAAAGGCTGTAGCTCTTGAGACAATAGGAAGGTGTCAAACATATTTGTATATGTTATAGTAGGCTAGATGGTGCATGCTTTTAGAGGGTACAACCGCTTGAACAGAATCATCCTGTATGCCTCATTCTACTTAACTTTTTACTCTGAGATGGTATCACGCGCTAGGTTAGGTCCTCCCCACCCACCCGCGCTTCTGCTCCTGTCCTAGTTCTAGCCGCCCCTTAGCGCCCCGTTAGCGCCCCGTCGGCCCCCTCTGGCCCGTTAGCACCCTGTCGGCCCCCGCTGGCCTGTTCGCGCCCGTCGCCCTCGTGCACCCCCTCTGGCCCTGCTCGCCCCGCCGACCTGCTAGCGCCCCGCTGGGCCGTTAGCGCCCCGCAGGCCCATTAGCGCCCCGTCGGCCCCGTGCGCCCCTCTGGCCCCGTGCGCCCCTCTGGCCCTGCTCGCCCCGCTGGCCCGTTAGCGCCCCGCCGGCCAGTTAGCGCCCCGCCGGCCCGTTAGCGCCTTGACGGCCCCGTCTGCGCCCCGTCGGCCCCATGCGCCCCTCTGGCCCCGCTCGCCCCACCGGCTCGTTAGCGCCCCGCCGGCCCGCTCTCGCCCTACCGGCCCCGTTAACGCCCCGTTGGCCCCGTGCGCCCCTCTGGCCCCGCTCGCCCCACTGGCCTGTTAGCGCCCCGCCGGCCCACTCGCGCCCTACCGGCCCCATTAGCGCCCCGTCGGTTCCGTGCGCCCCTCTGGCCCTGCTCGCCCCGCCGACCTGCTAGTGCCCCGCCGGCCTGTTAGCGTCTCGCCGGCCCCGTTGGCGCCCTACCGGCCCCGCCTACGCCCCGTCGGCCCCGTGCGCCCCTTCGGCCTTCGCCAGCCTTTTGGCCCGCCAGCCGCCCAGCCGGGTGGCTCCAGCCTCGCCGGCCCCCGCTTCAGCGACCAGCCGTTTGACCGTCGAGTCCCAACGCCGACCCATCGGCTCTGGCTCCCTTCAGCGCCAGCTTCCCTGCCGGCTGTCTCCACCGCTCTCCATCCCTCTCCACCGCACTCCACTGCACTACACCCCACTCCACCGCCCTCCACAACACTCAACCGCACTACACCGCACTCCCCCGCACTCCATCGCACTACAACGCACTCCGCCGCACTCCACCGCACTCCACCGCACTCCACCGCACTCCACCGTACTCCACTGCTCTTCACCGCTTCCTCCACCTGTCCTCCTCACTCGGTCAGCGGCTGTCAGCACCTACAGCAGTGGCGATGGCAGAGTCACAGCTCTGTCTGGACGCAGAGGGTCGGGCGCTCGACTTTGAGGCGTGGCTCGTCGACCTTCGGCGTCACCTTACAGGTTAGCGCCAGGATGGTCACTCCCTGGCTGTTCATGTCGATGGCATGCTTCCTCGCCCCCCTGCCCCTTCTGCCCTTCCTGATGCCCTCACTACTGCTGAGCGTGAGGCATTTTCTGCTGCTACGCTTGATCGTGCCGTCTGGGACTCACGCGACGCTGTCGCCCAGCTTGCTATCAGCCGTGCCATCCCGCTGTCTGAGCGTCCTCACTTTACCACTGTAGCGAACGCCAAGGCCTTCTTAGATGCTATCATTGCGCGCTGTTCCACCCCCACCACTGCCGCTGCTAGTCGTTTCATCCTTCCCATGTTGTTCCCTGATCTTGCGTCCTTCCCCACTGTCGCCGACTTTGCCACGCACCTACGCGCACTTGAGACAAGCTACCGCACTGCTAGCACTAAGGCACAGCTCACTGCCTTCCCGCCGCCGTTCTGCGCTACCCTTTATCTCATCGCCACGCGCCTCCCTAACCACCTAGCCACAGCCCGTGACCACTTCCTTAGTCAGCACCCGGGTAACCTCACTCTCACCGCCTTTGTCACTGCCCTGTCTGAGATAGAGACCCGCCAGCGCAGTATCGCTCAGTCTAGCGGTACTGCGGTGGTACCTATCTTTCAGGGCTGTACTCCCTCCCAATGCACTTACTCCGACGTCTCTGCTGCTGTTGCTAAGACCGCTGCTGCGGCCTCAGCGCTTGGCGTCCGGATAAAGGTCGCAGCCCCAAAGGGGGGCGTGGTGGGGGGAAGGGGGGTGGTGGTGGGGAGGGTGGAGGTGGTGAGGGTGGGGACGGTGGTTCAGATGAGGGGACCGGGGCTGGTGCCCCGGAGCAGCCGTAGCAGCAGACGCAGCCTCATCAGCAGCAGCAGAGAACTCAGCAGCCACAGCAATCGTAGCCGCCGCCGCAGTCGTCGCAGCAGCAGCAGTCGCCGTGGGGACCCCCGCCGCTGTGGTGGAGCGGCGACGCTAGCGGCGGTGGTCGTGGGGGAGGCGGGCGCAGCTCGGTGCCGGGTGGCAGCTCCAGTGCAGTCACCTGCCAGTACCAGCTTCAGACCAGCCCTCGCCGTGGCACTATGTACCTCCGGCCCGGCCACACCGCCGACCGCTGTTACCGCCGCCTGGACGACCTGTTCCGCCACCGCTTTGGCCCTTCGTCGGACCCTCCGAACTGGTACGCCCTGGCTCACCGTCGTGTGCCACTCTTTGAGCTTGACATGGATCAGATTAGGAATGCTATGTCTGTCATGTATACTGATGACTCCAGTGTGATTGGACCCGATTATCCGGTGTTGCCTAGCGTAGGTGTGTCCATTGTGTATAGTCTAGGCTCCCCTGCTATGTTAGGCGTAGGAACCCTTGCCTTGTTTAGCCTAGGCTCCCCACTAGCCCCTCCGCCAGCAGCCGCTAGCGCTTCGCTCTCCTTCACGCTTGACTCCGGTGCATCTACCTGCTTCTTTCGCAACCACACTTCCCTTACGCCGCTTGCCGCCCCTGCCATCGTCGCACTTGCAGACCCCTCCTCCAGCCCGGTAGTTGCACGTAATTCCACCACCTTCCCTGTCCGGCGGCACCCTCGGGCACTCTTACAGGCCTCCACATCCCCTCGTTCTCTAGGAACCTAGCTGGTGTCGGCTGTCTCCATAACCTCGGTGTCACCACTACGTTCCCCGGACACAAGCGGTATGCGGTCTGCATCGAGACCGCCGCTGGTGCTCCTCTGACCACGTTCCTCCAGGACCTTGTATCCGCCCCGGTGAGGGCGTCCCCCCAAGTAGCCGCGACTGGCTCGTGTAAGTCGCTCACTCACTCGTCGCTGTTGTGGCACCACTGCCTAGGTCACCCTACACTCCCGCGTCTGCGTCATATGTCCTAGCACGTTCTTGTCCTAGGTCTCCTTGTGTTGCTCCCTTCCCTCCCTCCCTCGCCTGCGCCGCCATGCACGCCTTGCGTTGAGGGCCGGCTGCGCCATGCTCCTCACTCCTCCTTGCTTCGCCCTGCCACCGCTCTACTCCAGACCCGGCACCTGGACGTCTAGGGTCCAGCCCCCGTCCCTTGGCCGTGTCGAGAGCGCTACTTCCTGGTGCTCGTCGACGACTACACGCACTACACCACGGTTTTTCCTCTGAAGCAGAAGGCCGATGTGCCTGATGTAATTATCCCGTGGTTCGTAGCTGTGCGAATCCGCCGAGGTCTCCCCGTGCTGTGTCTCCACTCCGACCGTGGCGGCGAGTTTGCCTCCAGTCGGCTTGGTCGGTTCTGTCGTGTGGAGGGCATCACCCAGTCATACACCCTGCCGGACTCCCCATAGTAGAATGGGGTCGCTAAGCGATGCATCGGCTTGGTCATGGAGGTGGCTCGTACCTCCATGATCCATGCTGGTGCACCCCATTTTCTGTGGCCGTTCGCTCTTCGCTACACTGCTCACCAGCTGAACCTGTGACCCCACTCCCAGTGGCCGCAGGATTCACCGACCCTCCTCTGGACCAGGTCTCCTGGTGGCGCGACTGCGTTCCACGTCTTGGGAATGCCTCGCTCACGTTTGTGCCTCTGGCACGATAAAGCTCACTGCCTGCACTATCCCTTGTGGCTTCCTTGGTTTCCCCCTTGACTCGTCTGACTGGCACTCTTACCACCCGCCGTCTCACCGCTTCATTCACTCGCGTGACATCACTTTCGACGAGTCTGTCTCCTTTAACCATCGCTTCCCCCACCGAGTTCTCCCGGTTTCCCCACCCTTGTTTCTGGTTCCCACTCCCCCCGTAGCCTCTGCTCCCCTCCCTCCCCGCCTTGCTCCGTCTGGTGTGTCTCATGTCACTCCCCTCCCGTCGCTTGTCCCGGTCAAGGAGCCGGCTGACTCTGGTAGCCCTGCGGCGAAGTTCTTGCCGCCTGCCTCTTCCCCGGTGTCCCCTCCTCAGTCGTCGCAGTAGTCGCCGCAACCGTCGTTGCAGCCGCAGCAGTAGCAGATGCCGCCGCTGCAACAGCCACCGCCGCTGCAGCAGCCACCGCCGTCGCAGCAGCCGCAGCCGTCCGTGGACTCTAGGGGTGCTGGCGTTGAGGAGAATGCTAGTTCTGGGGTTTCTCTCCTGGCTTGTCCCGGCGGGCTTGGGGGTGGCACCGGTGCTGGAGAGGGTTCTCGCTCTGGGGGTGATTCCTCTAGGGGTGCTGGAGTGGAGAATTCCGGAGGTAGCCGTGGTGCAGCTGGCGTTCAAGGTGTCGGGGTTGAGCAGTAGCAGCAGCAGCAGTCGCCACCGGTGTCTGCCCTTTGCCTGCTTGGCCTTCCCTCCCCTGACCACTCGCCTGCGCCTCCCCCGCCGCCTCCTCCCTTTCCTGTCCACGGTCCTGTGTTTCCTTTGCCGGACTCGTCCCTGGCCTGATTCCCGCCTCGTTCCCCCCTTGTGTCTCCTCCTCTGTCTCTTGACCTGACGCCTCCGTCTCACGTCTACTCTCGCCGCCCCTCTCGTCCTCGTCCTGTGTCTCCTGTTCAGCGTTCTCACCCTATGTTGCTTTGTTTCTACGTGTCTCATCCTCTCCTCCTCCCGCCTCCTCCTCCGTCGTCGCTCGTTGTCGCGCCTCCCCCTCTGTTTGACTACCTTCGTGTAGCTCGTCCTCTTGTTCCTCGGGTCCTTGCCTCCCTCGTTACTGACCCGTCCGTTCCTGTCTCCAGTCTTGACGCTCTTGTCGCTGTTGTTGCTTACTTCACCTCTATCCACCGCCTTAACTATGCCACCGCTCTGGTCTCTGGCCCTGTCTGCCCTCCGTCCGTCGAGGGTACTCCTGCCCTTGGTAGTGACATACTAGAG